CGTTTACTACTATATATATACTTCTTTCTTTCTTTTGACACTTTGTAACAATCTTTATTGTCTGATGATGGCAAGAGAACTTGTCGAAATATCACAATAAAATAAATTTGATTAAAGTATTAATCATGTTCTGTGCTTTGTACTATTCACTCAAACTTGTTAAATAGTCTTCCAATTCTTCATTGATACTGGTGATAATTTTCGAAAATATTGTACGAAAATGCTGTCGCCTATAAATAAAAGAAGGGAGGCAAACTTTACGATAATCGTAACATTTATAAAAACTCCTACGTTGACACACATGTTTTCGTTCTTCGGTGTAGTCGAACAAACTCTTCGTCTAACTCCACTTTAACATTTAATCTTGAAAGAACATTTTCTGCTACCAAGAAATTAGCGATATTAGTATTATGCTTGCTTAGTTCAGCAAAATGAATAATCTTTAATATTTATGTTTAAAATTGAATCCATATTTGCATTATCAGCATTGAATTGATCAAGTAAATTAGTTGTTTATATTTTTCGTTTTTCCCTATAATATATACTTTGTCTTCGTAAAATTTATTTATAATTACAATTACTGTTACGTATATCAACAAAGACCCTATTCTAATTAAAATAAATTAGTTGTGTCATTTAAAATATCAATTGTTGTTAAAATAACCTTTTATGGCTTTTTTAAATGAATAATTACTGCAGTTATTCGTGAAAATAAATTCTTCATAAATAGTAATATTGTACAAAAAGTGAATTATTTTCGTTCTTTTATCAATGATAAAACATGATTTAGCTTCTTTATCATTTATAATTGAGGGTACTCTTCTCCTCTTTTCGAGTTTTCGTATAAATACTATGAAATAAAAAACTAAAAGTCACTAAGGATTCGTATCTTTAGAACTGATTAGAAACTCAATGGAGCATTTTTTTGTTTTTGTTGCAAGTTTTTAATTATTACTGTTCACGGATTTTCCAAAAACCTCAGTTTTTCTTTGTGTCACATTACGATCTTCCTTAAATTCCATCGAATCGAGTTAAAAATTTTACGAGAGATACTCAAGGTAATATTGCAGAGGTATTTTTGGGGAAGTTTTGTAGACCTTTCCTGGTCGAGTTATAGGAAAAATACTGAAAAACGTCACGAAAACCAAGTTTTTCCGTTTTAAAGTAAGGTCTAAAATAAAATTCAAAAATATTACCTCTCTAATAGTGTCTCGAGTACCTCTGATAAAATTTTTAACTTGATCGGATGAGATTAAGGGGATCATAGCGCGACACAATGAAGCCTGATAGCAAAAAATAGTGTTCGAGAAAAATGCACACAGGTCACTTTTTTGCAAGGCATACGCTGCGATGCATATATCTCCACGAAAACTCATCGGAAAATTCTGAGAGACGCCTCCTTGTGAAGAGAACACCTTCTTCTGTTGAACTATATGTAAGAGAGAATTTCGATGTATAGGAAAGGAGAGAAGATTTATGAAACTAAAAAATGGATTTTTTTCTGGCTTGAAAGGAAAAACTTAAAAAACTCATAACTTTTAGAAGAAAGGTTGTGGAATACAGGGAGTGATCTCATTTTATGCCTCAGCCTTTCCTATCCATAAAACTATGCTCAGCGTAAAATTCAAAATATTTTCAAAAAAACGGGGTGGGATACCCTTGAATCATCAAGTGTTTCAACAATTTCTTTATATGATATTAATACTACTGTAATTGAATTATATGGATCGGATCAACTAGTTGTTGATAGATCCTTAATTAATATACCTAAAGGTCATCAATAAGAAGAATTGATCTGACTTAAACTCTACTGTACTGTTCATATATATTTTCATACAATAATTCATGGTGTTTCCTACTTTCAAAGAAATTGTATAGGTCTTGTAGTATTCCAGAACAATTAACATATTTAACGCGAATTCCAGTACCATGCTTAACAACTAAGTTTGTGGAATGATTTGAGCATGGTGTATAAGTCGTTCACATAATGACTAAGACGCACATGGGGCATTTTCCTTTTAGAAAAATGCAACCTGAAATTTCGGCTTTTTTTGGCATTTTGCATCCTGAACTGCAGAAAAGACTGATTTTGCATTTTGAAATGCAAAAGAAAGTGATTCTGCATTCCGAAATGTAAAAAACAGTAATTTTTCATCCGGAGATGCAAAAATAACTGACTTTGCATTCTACAGTCCAAAACGAGATTAATTTGCATCTCGAACAGTGATATTGGCCCTTCCGAAAGCAAAAGCTGCATTTTCTTACACTTAGAAATTCACATAATTACAGTTTATGCAGGTTCACATTTTATAGGCTAGTCAGATATTTAAATATCTACCGGGTGGTACGGCGTGGGGGGGGGTGGGGAAGCGGAGCATGAGAATGAGTTACGAAATATCAGTTCTGGTTTTGATAACTTGGTAGGTTACTTGACTAAGGCTGGAGGTACCAGTCAGTGCTAGTGAATTCACCAGGCTTAGAGAGGACGGGTAAAGCTACTGACAGCCCGAGAGGTAATTTAGAGCACTTGATTCAGTTTTTCTTTGTGCCTAATGGCGCTTTCCCACGGGCCTGCACGTTCCACGTACATGTGGCAGAGTACACAACAAGGCATACTGCACGCTCCTTCATACAACTGGAGATGTGTGTCAAGAGTTTACTCCGAAATTGCGCCGGATACCGGAATCCTTCTGTGCTACGAAGGGACGCTCAGCTATAACGGAGATCTCTAGATACTATTCAGAGGTGCGCGATATCACTATCTTATGAACTGAATTGCATAAGCATCACACGAACACTACTCTTCTGTCCAACACCTTGCGCTATCTAAATATCTAACTAGCCTAGGAAATGTGAACCTGCACAAACTGTAAACATCTAAATATCCAAATATCTTAATATCTAACTAGCGTACAAACTGTGAACATCCACAAACTGTAAATATCTAAATATCTAACTAGCCTAGGAAATCTGAACCTGCACAAACTGTAAACATCTAAATATCCAAATATCTAAATATCTAACTAGCCTACAAAATGTGAACCTGTGAACCCTCTAACAGAAGCGTTAAAAGTCGACAGAAAATACTCGGGTTTTTGAAAGGATTTTCTAGAAGTCTTCCGAAGTACAAGAATGTTTTTACTATTCTCAAGTAAAAATTCGTTTGGAGCAGGTAAAATAGAGTACATCTTGATATTCTGACATAATTTGGATTGATCTTGACTGAGTTATGAATTTTGCATTTTACTCAAAATAGGCAGAAATGGGATATTTCACCTAATGTACGTTTTCACTAAGTTTTTGAAACTGTATAGAAAAACGAATATTGCCACGAGATTCAGCATAGTCGGTAACCTGTGTTTTGATTCATTTCTGACAGTCTCAAAACTAACGGCAGAGGAGTCCTAAGGCTTCAAGGAAAATGCCCGTAGCTCCCGAACCATCAATTTTCGAGATGTCGCTTGGATCTGATTTTGTAGAGAACACCTTTGACTATCCATATATGAAAAAGACACTGATAGATTCCTATGCAAAACTTTGGAGCTATAAAGTGGTGTTCCAGAGATCCACTTAGAAATTCTTCAGAGATCAGCGCAAAAAGTTTTGATTTTCTATGACGTATGTTTTCTCTTTCTGTTCACGCTTTTCGATGGGTATTTTTCATTTCTATTCTTCTCTCTCTTGTACAATATGTGTTTTTCCCGGTTTCCCTAAGAGATCTTCTTCTAGCTGAAATATACTATATATAGTTGTTAATGGGTTTCGGTAATTTCGTAGAAATTTCGGTTTCAGATCTTAAATTGTTTTCTTTAAAAAGTATTCTAGAAAGGAAGATTGTGTGCGACGTGCAACTTGACTATGTTTAACTACAATCTAATGATTGTTTTTTTAATGTGTTATCTAAATATTCTTTTGTTAGTAACTTACGAATAAATTTATAGTTTAATATTATGTGCTATTGAGTTTATTTGACGGTCAAGATCGGCATGAGCGTGTTCTAGTAGATGAAGTAATCGCTGATTATACTCAGCATAACGTTGTTGTTGTGATGGTGGCTGCTGACTGACGCCAGCTTGAATAACATGTATCCGAACATTTGCTTCCTCCAGTTTTAACTTATCGAAAAATTTCCAAAGACTTGGATGTTCACATTCCATTAACTTGTGCATACGAGTATTCCAACCTTCAAACTGATTATTTGTGCGAAACATACTCGCTGTTGTACGTCCATGCATATTCCAAAAAGCAATGGGATAACAGCCAGACATTAGGCAGAAAATCGAAGTTTTTCCTTTTTCGGATAGAAATAGGGCATAATGTAGCTCTTTCAAAGGGCTGTCGAACGGTATATAAATGTCTATTGTGACAATGGATCCTTCGACCAGAAAATAGTATACAAAAAACATGAACAAATACGACATCTATACACAAAAATACGATTTTTCACTTTCACAGCTAT